CTTTATTTTACTAGACTGGATTTCGAAGGTAGTTAGGTCTGTGCAATTACGTCGTATCCGTAGGAATTGTCCTTTCGGGGCATTTTCAAGCCATGGGGAGAAATGGCAACTCTCCCTCTCTATGTAGCTGTTAGCCTCAACTGTCTTAAAGTGATTTTTAGTTTTAATTTTATTATTTTCAATATATATATGGAGGTCTAGAAAAACCACTTCGGTCTTGCTCCAATTACTGGTAAGTTTTATACCCCAAGTATTTTCATTAAGATGGTTTAAAAATGTAACGAGTTCCTCCTCTTTTCCTTTCCATATAAAAAAAATGTCATCGATATAGCGGCCGTATGTTACTAGACTTTCCCCCCAGCCATGCGCACCATAAATAAAAGTACTTTCCCAATGTGCCATAAACAGGTTTGCATAGCTGGGGGCAAATTTCGTCCCCATAGCTGTCCCATTTACTTGCAGATAGAATTCCTCGCCATACCAGAAATAGTTATTAGTTAAAATTAATTCTATTCCCTCCAAAATATATTTCATTTTTGTGTTTGTAAACTCTGAAGAATTTTTAAAAAAATGTTCCACGGCATCACATCCGTATTGGTGTGGGATGTTACTGTAAAGAGCTGTAACATCACTTGTGACTAAAAAACAGTTAGTGGCCAATCACATCCCTCCAAAGTATTTAAAACCGTGATAGTATCTTTGATATATGAAGTGGTTTGTTTGACTAAAGGTTGTAATTGTATGTCCACATAATGGGATAATCTGCTTGATACGGAATCTATTCCTGCCACTATCGGTCGTCCTGGAGGTTTATTAGTATCTTTATGGATTTTGGGGAGAAAATAAAAAACTGGGATTTTAGGATGTTTTATATTTAAATATTTGTACTCCTTCTCATTCAGAATTTCTGATTCCAAACCTCTTTTAAAAAATTCTTGAAATGTTTGGTTAATATCCTTACTAGGGTTATAGGATATAAGGATATTAACCAAACATTTCAAGAATTTTTTAAAAGAGGTTTGGAATCAGAAATTCTGAATGAGAAGGAGTACAAATATTTAAATATAAAACATCCTAAAATCCCAGTTTTTTATTTTCTCCCCAAAATCCATAAAGATACTAATAAACCTCCAGGACGACCGATAGTGGCAGGAATAGATTCCGTATCAAGCAGATTATCCCATTATGTGGACATACAATTACAACCTTTAGTCAAACAAACCACTTCATATATCAAAGATACTATCACGGTTTTAAATACTTTGGAGGGATGTGATTGGCCACTAACTGTTTTTTAGTCACAAGTGATGTTACAGCTCTTTACAGTAACATCCCACACCAATACGGATGTGATGCCGTGGAACATTTTTTTAAAAATTCTTCAGAGTTTACAAACACAAAAATGAAATATATTTTGGAGGGAATAGAATTAATTTTAACTAATAACTATTTCTGGTATGGCGAGGAATTCTATCTGCAAGTAAATGGGACAGCTATGGGGACGAAATTTGCCCCCAGCTATGCAAACCTGTTTATGGCACATTGGGAAAGTACTTTTATTTATGGTGCGCATGGCTGGGGGGAAAGTCTAGTAACATACGGCCGCTATATCGATGACATTTTTTTTATATGGAAAGGAAAAGAGGAGGAACTCGTTACATTTTTAAACCATCTTAATGAAAATACTTGGGGTATAAAACTTACCAGTAATTGGAGCAAGACCGAAGTGGTTTTTCTAGACCTCCATATATATATTGAAAATAATAAAATTAAAACTAAAAATCACTTTAAGACAGTTGAGGCTAACAGCTACATAGAGAGGGAGAGTTGCCATTTCTCCCCATGGCTTGAAAATGCCCCGAAAGGACAATTCCTACAGATACGACGTAATTGCACAGACCTAACTACCTTCGAAATCCAGTCTAGTAAAATAAAGCAGGATTTTATAGATAAAGGATATGAGGATTTTAAATTAGAAAAAGCGAGAGAAGCAGTGAAAAATACAGACAGAAAAAACCTTTTAAAATATAAAGAGAAAAAGGAAAATACATCTATGGAAATTCCCTTTATATGTAATTTTAGCACTGACAACTATAGGGTAAGAAAAATAGTTTCCAAATTCTGGCCTATTTTATTGCAAGATCCGATCGCTAAGACTTTTTTACCAGAAAAACCTAAATTCATACACAGAGGAGTTAATAATCTACGTGATACCCTCACTTTAAGTTTTTTGAGGGAGAAAAAAGATAAAAACACTTTTTTAAATACAGAAAAAGGTTTTTTCGGTTGTGGCCAATGCCTAGCGTGTAAGAGGACCAAAAATAAAAAACGCCAGATAAAAAGTTTTACTAATAAGGAAGGAATAGAATATCCTATTAAAGATTTCTTAAGCTGTCATTCAAAAAATTTAATTTACTTAATAATATGTCCATGCGGTTTAAGATATGTAGGAAAAACAACTAGACCATTACATATCCGAATTGAAGAGCATGGCCGCAATATTGTAAAAGGTTTTGAGAAACATAGTGTTTCAGCACATTATAAGATGGCCCATAACTGTGACACTAAAGATACTATATTTTTGGGTATTAAAAAAGTGGACAAAGATTGGAGAGGTGGAAATTTTGATATTAAAATGAGCAAAATAGAGATGGAGTGGATTTTTAAGTTAAACACTCTGGTCCCGAACGGACTTAACGCTGATTTTGAAATGTGTCATTTTTTAACTTAAATAATTTTTATATATATATAAAAAGTTTTTCCACTACTTTTATGCACCTCTTCATATATATATCCTTTTTTCGAAATAGGGAAGATTCAAGCACACACTGAAGCCTTTCCTTATATTTCTTATATATTTAATGATTAGTGTTTTAATGAATTCAAAGTATTATCTTTATTAATGATGTAAATATATATAAAATGGTTGTTTTTTGTGTGGAAATTGAAAAAGAAGCCTGTATACTACTGAGATATTACTTCCTACTCATGCATATATTGCCGATCTGTCTGGGAGGAAGAAAGAATCCGTGGACCGCACGGTGGAATGCATGGAAATGACGTATCGGCGAAACCGGAAGTGACGCGACGGAGCTCAAACCCGGAAGGAAGAACGAGGAAGAGGCTTGAGACGCAGGGCATCACCGTTTCCATGGTGATTGCCCGCGAAAATACAAGCCAAACATCAATTAACCACCCGGGAGAGGGGTATATAAAGCAGGAGAATCCCAAGGAAGACTACATCACTATTATCCAGCTGAGGAAGCCGATATAGGCGAAACGCGTCCTGGAATAAAGACTGTGAGACTTTGGATTTTTATATGCCAATTTTACTTTACATATATTTTATATACTTATATATATTTTATAATGTTATTATTATAATAAATATTGTACTTTTACACAATATTGGCATTATCCCTGCTACATTTTTTTCTAAAGAAGGTGTGTGGACCTTATCCACATAAATGCACAGATCAGAGCCGATTTGGATGGCTCTAAGTTTGTAAGTACCCCATCTTGGTTTATTATCTTTCTTTAAAGACCAACGGTACTGCACCATATTTGTCCTGTTTCATTTTAATAGAACACCAGAAGCACTGGAACTCAAGAAGGGTGAGGGTCGCCTTTACTGAACCCCAAGAACGCTGAAATTGAGCTATTATTTTATAGCTCTAAAAAGTGTGAGTGGGATTTTACCCCCTTTTTTTCTATTATTACATCGTTTTATATGGTATACACTATGTCCGTTCCGTTTTTTCTTTGTGTTTTTTAGAAACTCAAACTGGGAAGATTTATTTAATATTGTAAAGACTTTGTAAGGTATTGCCTTTTTATCTCCATTTCTATTACTAAATATAGAGTTAAAACATATCTAAGGGTGAAAGAGTCAATGCTACTGGTGTCAATCCTGCCTGGAGGTAGAACATCGAGTGAGAAAAAAAGCATTCTTAAATATACCAGATGTTTTCTTGAGAAACATGTACCCAGGCATACATTAGCAAATGTGGCTAAGACAAATAATTCCAAAAATTGCCATTCATAGTATAATATTCAAATAGTTGCCTGTAGATAAGAAACTATGTTAAATTAGATGGCTGGGTGAATAGTGCCTTCCTAGTCTTCAACCAAATTGCAAAACTAAACCCTATGACTATCTAATCCCAAACTAGGGAGGGGTGTGCCTAAATACAACCAAATTACAGATCTTAACTCTATGAGTATCTCAGCCCACACTAGGGATGTGCGTACATATAACCAAATTACAGAACTTAACTCTATGAGTACCTCAGCCCACACTAGGGGTGTGTGTACATATAACCAAATTACAGAACTTAACTCTATGACTACCTCAGTCCACACTAGGGGTGTGTGTACATATAACCAAATTACAGAACTTAACTCTATGAGTACCTCACTCCACACTAGGGATGTGCGTACATATAACCAAATTACAGAACTTAACTCTATGAGTACCTCAGCCCACACTAGGGATGTGCGTACATATAACCAAATTACAGAACTTAACTCTATGAGTACCTCAGCCCACACTAGGGGTGTGTGTACATATAACCAAATTACAGAACTTAACTCTATGAGTACCTCAGCCCACACTAGGGATGTGCGTACATATAACCAAATTACAGAACTTAACTCTATGAGTACCTCAGCCCACACTAGGGATGTGCGTACATATAACCAAATTACAGAACTTAACTCTATGACTACCTCAGTCCACACTAGGGGTGTGTGTACATATAACCAAATTACAGAACTTAACTCTATGAGTACCTCAGTCCACACTAGGGATGTGCGTACATATAACCAAATTACAGAACTTAACTCTATGAGTACCTCAGTCCACACTAGGGATGTGCGTACATATAACCAAATTACAGAACTTAACTCTATGAGTATCTCAGCCCACACTAGGGATGTGCGTACATATAACCAAATTACAGAACTTAACTCTATGAGTACCTCAGCCCACACTAGGGGTGTGCGTACATATAACCAAATTACAGAACTTAACTCTATGAGTACCTCAGCCCACACTAGGGATGTGCGTACATATAACCAAATTACAGAAGTTAACTCTATGAGTACCTCAGTCCACACTAGGGATGTGCGTAGATATAACCAAATTACAGAACTTAACTCTATGAGTACCTCAGTCCACACTAGGGATGTGCGTACATATAACCATATTACAGAACTTAATTCTATGACTACCTCAGTCCACACTAGGGGTGTGTGTACATATAACCAAATTACAGAACTTAACTCTATGAGTACCTCAGCCCACACTAGGGATGTGCGTACATATAACCAAATTACAGAATTTAACTCTATGACTACCTCAGCCCACACTAGGGGTGTGCGTACATATAATAAAATTACAGAACTTAACTCTATGAGTACCTCAGTCCACACTAGGGATGTGCGTACATATAACCAAATTACAGAACTTAACTCTATGACTACCTCACTCCACACTAGGGATGTGCGTACATATAACCAAATTACAGAACTTACCTCTCTGACTACCTCAGTCCACACTAGGGATGTGCGTACATATAACCAAATTACAGAATTTAACTCTCTGACTACCTCAGTCCACACTAGGGATGTGCGTACATATAACCAAATTACAGAATTTAACTCTATGACTACCTCAGTCCACACTAGGGATATGCGTACATATAACTAAATTACAGAACTTAACTCTATGACTACCTCAGCCCACACTAGGGATGTGCGTACATATAACCAAATTACAGAACTTAACTCTATGACTACCTCAGTCCACACTAGGGATGTGCGTACATATAACCAAATTACAGAACTTAACTCTATGACTACCTCAGCCCACACTAGGGGTGTGTGTACATATAATAAAATTACATAACTTCACTCTACGACTACCTCAGCCCACACTAGGGGTGTACGTACATATAACCAAATTACAGAACTTAACCCTGGGGCTATCTCAGCACTCACTAGGAAAAACGTGTGCCTACACATACCCAGAGACAGAGAGTAACAGGGGAACATGGTTCAATAGAATAATTAAATAAAAGGTGCTATCAGACAGTGCTACTCATGTGAGTGTAAGAAAAGTGTTAAATCATAATGAAAAAGGCATAGCCCCACGTGCATTTTGGTGTGAAGACACACCTTCATCAGGGGTAGCTTTACTTGGGAGTGGATCATCTTGGGTGACAGCCAGATGGGGGTGCATATGGCACCACTCTGCTGGCTCTGAACTGGTCCATATGTATCACAGCCGAGTGATCATGCTCCTTTGCTTGGTCTGTCTGTAGCAACCTGCAGTGAGTGGAGGGGGCAGGATCTTAAAGTCATAATCTGTCCTCTCTCCACTCACTATTCATGCTAGATGTGAAAATAAGATCCCGACCAGAGAAGAATCAACGTATTCTGCTTCAGTACTGCTCAGACATGCTATTGTTAAGGTTAGAGATAATAATTAATAATAATAAACAAGAAAATGGACATACAGAGAACATGGGGGTGGACAAAGAAAATAGGAGGATAGATAGACTAAAAATAAGGGGTGAACAGAGAATGAGGGTTAAAAAACAGAGGATGGGAGTGGACATACAGAATGGGGGGTCGAGGTGCACAAACTACATATGGGGTGTGGACAGAGTGAATGGGGGTGGACAAAAAAAGAACGGGGGAGGATAGACAGAAAAGGGGGTGGACAAACAGAATGTGGGGTAAACATGCATTGACTGGGACATGGATAGACAGATACTGGAAAATGGGGAATGGTTAAGCAGAGAAGAGGATTGGGGTGGACACACTGATAAATAGGGTAAGCAAACAGAATGGGGAGTGGGGAAATATATAATGGGGGTGGACAGATAAAATAGCCTCCTATTTGGGGTGGACAGAATGGAAATGCGGTGGAGAAACAGAGAATGGTGGGTGGACAGAGTATGGGTCTGGGTCTGGACAGACAGAATGTGGTGCTGAAAAGACATAATGGGACAAATAGAATATTATCTTGGCGTTATCTCTAACTATATGATTTCTGATTGGAAACTAAAGGGGCTTTTAATCTCATGTCAAGCTTTTTTTTAACACTTCTTTGTTGTGTAACAATGACATATTATTTCTGGGAGATGCCATGGAAAAGCTAGTCATTATTAACTATTAGTAAGTTTTTTTTTAATGAGTACATAATGACATGACTAATTATTGTAAGTTGTGTATTTGCAATCATGTAAAAGATGTTCACTGATTTTCTTTGCGCTCGTCTATAAATCAATATATAGATTAATTAATCAAAGTGGTGGGTTCATAACTTCTTGTCTTATGCAGACATCCCATCAACATCTTTATTTCATTTAAAATCATCTGTTCACTTTCATGTCATTTGCTTTGTGGTTTGAGGTTCTACTAAGTCTACAACAAGGAGTTATAGAGTTTTGAGTACAACTTTTGGGGTGGATGTATTAAGACAACTAATACGAAAGATAGCTCTAAATATAGTGGAACTACAGAAAGGTTGTATTGGGACTGAATATTGGTTCTCAAATCCACGGAGGCCACACTCTGTTCGATGGTTTAGTCTAACACATTCTTCCTACCTCTTATATACCTGGTATGTTTTCTTTATGAGGGAGCGTAATTAAAAAAATAATATACTGAAGATGACTGAAGTTTCCTTTCTCCAACCTAGGTTATTTCACACTGAGAGATGGTGTGTGTTGCAACAGATGTTGTGGACTACACCTCCCCTGATGCTTTGCCAGGATCATGGTTACAGGAGCAATTTTGGAGAAAGTTGCCTACCACACCACTTTGACGAAGGCTGTCTACCACTCCAAAATAGGGATACAGTGAACAGTTTATCACTTTGTTACATTATGCTGTACTCCTCTCTGGCAAGAGAACCAATGTCAGATGTGTGAACGTGTATACAAGTGCTTAAAAATGGCTTTATGTGTGAGCAACACCCATGGACAATTTCCCTGTGATCCACACAACAGAGTAATACAAAAAAAAAATACAATTATTAGGTGATTCCACCTAAATGAACATGTGAGAGGAGAACACTTACTTCTATTATTACTTGGGGTTTCATAGACAGCATATAAAAATAAACAAAACTACAAACAATAGTATAATACTGTAACATAAAAAACAATGTGTGGTATACAGTAAGTAGTATCACTCACATTCGATGGAGCCTAAATGCACATGCTCTGATTTTGAAGGCCTTTGTGCTTTTAAGGCAGCACTCCACCCATTTAGCTAGGTATTTTCCTTCAATGAAAAATACAAAAAAAATGGTAGGATTGGATAGACTCTAGCTAGTATTTGCCTTTTCTATTTTTTTTAATTCTTGCTACTTTGCATTTACTATTATTAAATATTGTCTAGTTGGGAACCTCTACCATACCTGAGATACACATCCAACAGGGAGGTGTTACCCTGATTGGCACTGCGCTTTATTTACCTGGAACCTGCAAAGGTGAGCAAGGTATTATAAGACCCTACAAATTACATATCATATTCCTAAGCATACTGCACATGTTGTTTCTTTTTGTTTTGTTTTTTGTTTTTTTTTAGGAAAAGACTTGGCTGAACACGTGGGGTTCTGATTGAACAGTACAAAGTCCTTTAAAACCAGAGGCTGCTCACTTAGGCTCCACATAATGTGAGCGATATTACCCACTAGATACCACAAATTATTTAGTATGTTACTGTGTTACGGTATTGTTTGTATTTTTGTTTATTTGTATATGCTGTTTATGAAACCCCAAGTAATAGTAGGGGTACATTATATTCACTTATAACAACCCACTCACACTTTTATTTAGGGGGAATCACCTGATAATTGTATTGTCTTTTTTTGTGTTATCAGTAATAGTGCTAGTGGCTCAAGGACCTTCTTTTACTACATTTATTTTTTCTTTAAAAAATACTAAGTACACTTTCTCTTTAAAAGGAATGAGTGAGCTAAGTAATAAAAAGTAAAAAAATAATTTGAGTCTTTTTTTTACTGAGATATTATAATAAAAGTATGAAAAAATATTAGGCTCTATTTTCAATAACTATAACAAACCCTAATTGGGTATAGGAGAAATCTCATCCTTGTACATTTTTTTATAACATATGTACCACTCAGTATATTCCGGATCTACGCATTGCATTTCGATGTATTCTATGTATGCTTTCACAACTTCCCTAAACATACAGGAAATCAAAAGGAGATGTCAGCTGTTCCTTAATTATATCAATCCACTCAGAGAAAAAGCCACAAGATTGCAAGTCAGCCAGGAGGTTACAGATCAGCCAACATGTAAGTTATCATAAACATATCTTTATATTGATGCATTTAGGCTGATACACAGCCAGCTTTGTTAGATCTGGAGAAAACATAAAATATGCTTTGGCATTAGTTTACTATTTTAAGAAACTATAATAAGCACTGGGGGTATTTGCTAAACCGTTTGTTGCAATAATGCATGAACCAAGTTACAAAAGGAAAGTCAGTATAGGAGATAAAAAAAAAAGTCTAAGTTGGCTATATTGAAGATTTTTTTTATTTTTTTGCCATTTTTGTCCTTATTTTTTCCAGAGTTTTTTAAGTTGTAAAGTCACAGTTTTTTGACTAACAGACCCTCATGTATCAATTATAGAGGATTGAGTATATATTCCTCTAACTAAGAAGCCTAACAGAGCACTACACTACAGATCTTTCTTTTTATAATAGGTGGTTGCTTTGAGAAGCAGCTGTCGGATGTAAAATTAAAAACTAAAAAAACACAATTATATCCTACCGGCCCTATGCCAGCTGTGAAGTTTTGAAGCTAAAGAGCCCCACATAGTTCCATAGTTCCATATTACATTGTTACATGGCTAAAAAGAGACTTGCGCCCATCAAGTTCAGACATCCTCACATATGTTTTTGCTGCTGATCCCATGGTTCAGCCCCAAGCCTCCCCACCAATAATGCCTATGATTAAAGGATCACTATAGGGTCATGAACACAAACATGTATTCCTGACCCTATAGGGAAAACCCACCATTTAGGTGGTTTGCCCTCCCTTAGTGCCCTCAGAATGGGTTAAAACTCACCTTAGGGGGCAGCACCAATGCATATAATATGTGTGGGTACAGTAAAAAGAGGAAAATTACAGCTAAACACAAACACAGCAGAAATGTAAAAAGAGCCCTGGTCCTTAACGGTAAGAAAATTGAAAAACGGTCTGGTCACTAATGGGTTAAGCTGTAGTTGTTCTGCTGACTATAGTGTCCCTTAAAGGTAAATATTTATGTAGATATTACAGATGGAGAGGATATACTCTGATTTACAGAGTGATTTACTAAAGTGAGAATTCAAAGTGATTTTAGAATTTAAAATTAAAAAATGTCAAACTGGAGAAATTCTCTTTATCAGCTATACTTTCCGTTCAGCGACTCTGACCTTAAATTTCAAATTCATGTTGAATTCACTATGAATTCTCACTTTAGAAAATAACTCTAAACGGGGAGGCATGTGCTAACCAGTAATGAATAAAGAAAAAAACCCACAGGGGTTAAGTTACTAAATAGTGAATTGTAGAGAACCTCCTGGGGAAATGAAAACTGTAGAACAATACAATTGAGCTAAAAGTTAAATTAAAATATGTTTTTCAGTATGGCTATTTTGATCTAAAATTAGAAATATAGTGTCTGCTTTTAAATGTATAGTTTAGTGAATAAACGACACAGTGATGAAATTGAAATTGTGGAAAAACAGAAAAAAAGGAATTTCTCTTATTGCTTTTCTTACAAAAAACTCTTTATTGCGTTTTAAGAAAATAGTGTCACAATCACCAGCAATAATTATATAATAATCATTTGTAAAATAGAATTAAATGGAGACAGTACAAATGAAATATAGTAATGAAAGTCAATGGGTGATTACCCCAAAAGGAAATTACGGGGAACATGTGGATAAAGGCATGTAATTAAATAGATAAAGAGGGTGTACTTTCTTATTAATACATAAGTTATGATTTTTTTTTAAATAAATACATTTTACAAAAGAGCTGTGGTCTAATTTCAGCCAGGACCGGGTTACATAACTGATTAAAATATCAAATTAAGAAATTGAAATTAACACCCCCAATTGAAACTCCACCTGGAAATTGAAACTCCACTTGGAAGTAGCCACAGATCTGCAGCACGATAACCTTACAGAATGTGGGGACTGGGGCTAAATTGCTTTTGGTGGAAGGCATGCAGAGAGCCTGCTCCTCCGCCCCCCCCCTCTTACTCGGGTCGTCTGGACAACCCTAAACTAATTCTTCACTACTCTATCAACACCAGCTCTCTCTATCTCCCTCTTTCGCTTTTCTTCTTCATACCATTGTTTGTGAATAATTGCAACTAATTCCAAGTGCAGTAATTGCAAGTCCATTGCGATTTATGTACAGAACTGTTGACAACTCGACATCGTGACAACAATGTGTTTATGAATATTATGTGCGGAACTGTCTTGCTGTAACTGTGAAATATTTGTCCTAACCAATAAAAATTGTCAAGTTGAAAAACAAAAACAAAAAAAAGCCTTTAAGCTTAGTACATGATTGTTAATGTTATTTTATATAAAATACAGTTACTCTTGAATTATGCATCAAAGCCAATAATGTAAATTAACATTAAAAATAGCTGTGATTTAAAAGAGAGACAAATTTACTACAAGCATAATAAAAGTGCCATAGTTCTTAATTTAAATTGAATTAGTCTTGACTCTTCATGTCCAACATCAGCTGTAATATTAAAATTTACCCTCAAAGTTACCTAGAGAAAGGTTTGTTAATGGGATACTTTGATATGTTGGCGGTTTTATCATTTATTGGGTGACTAAATCCCTTTAAGTATTTAACTTAAGACAAGAGATTTTAAATATTCTTGACAGATACTTACCTTTTGGGGTGCACTGGCCACTATCAGCATTAAATATTATTTTGCCATTTTCCCCTCCAATATTCTATTATAATTCAACAGAATGTTTTGTCTAAATATATTTTGAAAATGAAGCAATACTTTGTGTTTTCTGGCAGATCTCCCAGTGTTAAGAATGGAGAACGTTACAGCAACAATTCTTCCGAGCAACACCACCACTGAGGAAACAGAGGATTTGCCTAGCATTACCTTTAACAGCGTTCATACATTTTCTTTGATTGTTTACATTGTGGCGTTTTTGCTGGGGACAACAGGCAATGGCTTGGTCATCTGGGTCGCTGGTTTCCGAATGAAGAAAACAGTCAATGTGGTGTGGTTCCTTAATTTAGCCATTGCTGATTTTATCTTTACTTTATTCTTGCCACTTAGTATTACATACCTTGTCCTTGTATTCCACTGGCCTTTTGGTACCTTCATGTGCAAGCTAAATAGCGCTGTGGCATTTCTCAATATGTTTGCAAGTATCTTCACACTCACTGTTATCAGCATTGACCGTTGTATCTCTGTGGTGTTCCCTGTATGGGCACAGAACCACAGGACACCCCGCATGGCTTTTATAGTGGCCATAATTGTTTGGATTCTTGCAATATTTTTTAGTTTAACATATTTTATCTTTCGAGATGCAGCTGGTGACGAGGGACAGATCAGGTGTTTCAACAACTTTCATGACACGGATTATGATTTGCACCTTTTAAGGCTCAAAGCTACCGTGATTACTCGATTTATCTTTGGCTTCTTCATCCCTTTCACTATTATTTTTTCATGTTACACTATTATTGTAATTCGACTTCACAGAAATCGCATGGCATCATCAACCAAACCCTTCAAAATTATTATAGCTGTTCTGCTTTCCTTCTTTATCTGTTGGTTTCCATACCATGTTTTTTCATTTTTGGAAGTGGCCTACAATGAAAGTGAGGATGACTCCCTGAGAAGCGCGGTAGAAATTGGGGGTCCAATTACGTCCAGCCTAGCCTTCTTCAACAGCTGTATCAACCCCTTCCTCTACGTCTTCATAGGTCGAGATTTCAAGACGACCTTCAGGACCTCAATCCAGTCTATTTTTGAAAAAGCGTTCAGTGAAGATAATGGTCAAACCGAAATCAAGACTAAAAGTACCTCCGATTCACAGTTAGTTTGAAATTACAGAAAGTATGAGACTTTTCAGAGAAATGTCCTGCAGGGCAAGTATGAAAGTCTGAGCAATCCTTTTGACTCAAATACTCTTGGGATTAAACATCTCATGAAAAAAATGGATCCTCACTTGTTTACAGAGACACTTCTGATAAGAATAAATGAAAAACATTGACAGCTTTATATCAGCAAAGTGTGTATTGTCAGAACTCCAAAGTGAATTCAAAGAAATTTCACATTGTAGGACAAAATAAATGACTTTTTCTATTTGAGCTTCTTTGACATGAATTTTGAAATTCCCTTTAAATTTCCGACTATTCATACTATAGTAAAGAACTCTGCAACAAGTGAATGACATTTTGCCAACAATTAGTTAACTCCATAAATTATTCTGGATAAAAAGCCTACATAAATAATAATAATTATTATTTGTTTTTACTTGTTACAAAATGACATACCCTTATCATGGAATATGTTATTTATAACCTAGCAGTCATTCTATTATAATTTACAGTATCTACAGTATCTAGAATATCATAATAGTAAAACATTACAAAGTGACTCCTATAATTCAAAGAAAAACCATATACATGTATTTATATATAAATTAGAGGGGCAAAGGTTTAAAAATAATATCAGGAAGTATTACTTTACTGAGAGGGCAGTGGATGCAGGGAATAGCCTTCCAGCTGAAGCGGTAGAGGTTAACACAGTGAAGGAGTTTAAGCATGCATGGGATAGGCATAAGGCTATCCTAACTATAAGATAAGGCCAGGGAATAATGAAAGTATTTAAAAAACAAAATTGAACTAGATGGGCCGAATGGTTCATAACTGCCGTCACATTCTATGTTTCTAAGTTTATATAGCACTGTTTGCCCGGTGCTTGTCCAGCAAAATACAAAGAAAAAGATCAGATAGCACACTCAGGACTCTGAAAATCCAAAATAAGACTTAACTTTTAATCAGCTTGTAAAAAATCGACTAACAGGACTCTAGCACACCATGAATTCTTTCCTAGGCTTACTGATTTAAAACTAGTTGCATCAGGTCTGCAGATAATAGTGAAATCACTGGAATAAAGATATTGAAGTAATAATTCTCATCAAGGACGATGCTATAGTAAATATGCTACATTTTGTAAAATGTTTGCATGCAATTCTAAATTAAGTAGAAAATAATCTTCTCTAGGAGAAATTATGTCCAGAGTTTTGTGCATAAATTTACTGAAGAAATATGCTATCATGGATATCATGTAAAATTCCTGACTGCCAAAGGCCAACCTAAAACCTTATTTCAACCAGCCCAGACCCCTTTCCCAATGGAAATACAAATATAACCACTGAGTAAGGGGAAAAGGGCTTGGCCACAGCTTTTATTTTAAATTAATCAAAATTGAAGAACATTGAAAGTAACGCCGGCTGAAAGGCCACCAACCCTCCTGCAGAACTCTCAAACCAAAGTTCAGTTCCTGTTCACCTGCCGTGGCAGAAAGCCCCTCTCCCAATGATCGGTATTCGAACTGCCCTTTATGCCAAGGTCACAGCTTAAAAGGGGGAGTGTGAGCTGGGAGATATGGTCCTTCTGCCCCTGACTAAAAAACAACATTTTTTAAACTTTTCAACTTACTGTAGCCAATTCACCAGTGCCTTGAAGAACCGTTCAATGCAGGCATGCATGGCACTCCCGGCTCAAAACAACTAAACAGAGTATTGGGCTTCCTTACTATCGAAAATACAAAAAGTTAAGCAAGACCATTTTACAGGTAAAACACATAGCATTATATTATATAGTAACAAAGTAACAAATAAATGAATACAGTAATAAAAAAACAAACATGGTATTACACACAGCATAAGTACAAAAATATACTAACTAAAATAGGCATTTCTGGATACATAAAATTTGAATCTCCGATATAAATATAAAAATGATACTAAAATGCACAAAATTCTGTAATATTTGATCAGTGCATAGCATGTTTTCACATCACATGGCAGCAAACTTCACATATCACAGAGAAATGTCCAGGCTCTGCAAAAAAAAAGTGCTCCAAGGGCGCCCCCTAGAGGATATGCAGGAAGCAAACAGTTAGGAAATGATAATAGCTTGTAGTGTAAATGGTTTACAATGTATTAACATGTAAAGTGTGAAAGAATATTTAAAACTATATCATTATAGGTATCTGGAACAGTTCTTTAGAATTTTGTTATTGGATGGCTTCCGTTGAAATGAAATTATACATCTTATTCTGTAATTTTAAGGGAACAGTTTTAACCTTTATATAAACACTTTATATGTTGAGGTAATGTTAGATACCATATATTTACATGTAAATGCTGCCATTAATCAAAAGCACAAATACATTTTTTTTTTACTCTTGCAATGTTATTTTTTTAGTTTACTGTTAAAATGCAGTTTGCATGAAAACCAGAAGTACAATGGGTTGTCCTACATATATATATATATATATATATATATATATATATATATATATATATATATATATATACACACACACACATATATATACACATTTGTGGTAAGGGCTCATGATAGTACAGAAGAAACAAAACACCGATAAGTGTAGGATGGTATTAAAAGAGCAAGTCGGTTGTGGTGTGCTGGAACCGACGATGAGGTAGACCTATCAATAAAGAGGGCCCACCAAGAAGAAATGTAAAGAGAAAAGAGTTAATAATGAGGAGTGGTGGGAGGGTGATGCAGCGCTGACCTCGAACGGTATGGAGCCAGGTAAGGGGTGTCCCTTAAGTAGGGAAGGTGTGTGTCATACGCCCCTCCCACAATTACAGGCCAAAAGGCCTTAATATTTTTGGTAAGGGCTCATGATAGTACAGAAGAAACAAAACACCAATAACTGTAGGATGGTATTAAAAGAGCAAGTCGGTTGTGGTGTGCCGGAACCGACGATGAGGTAGGCCTGTAAATAAAGAGGGCAAAAATAGAAAATCTAATTTATTACATACCAGCAATATACGTACATTTAACCAGACATGTTTTGAAAAGCATTTCTTACTTCTTGTACCGGGTTAGGTATGTATCTAGAGTAAGCTGATGATTTCCAGCGCCCCAGTGACTTGATAACATGAACTGGGATGTTTGCACTGGATGCTGTGGAGGCCGCTCCTATGCGGAAGGAGTGGCCGAAGAGTTAGCTGATTTGAGGCCCAGTTGGGTAAGTAAGGACCTGACGTGGGTCATGAAGGTGGTGGAACCTTGTAGACTGAAAAGTGGTTTATCTGGTGATGCGTTGTTATGCTGGGTATATGAATCCAGTAGTTTGACTGGGCACCACCTGTTGTGAGTAGGATAGTACTTAACCTCTACTGGAGGTGCATGTTGACTGGTTTTGGAATGAGGCAAGGTCAAGATATAAGAGTCCGTGTGTTTTGTTAAGTGTGAATGAAGTAAGATGTGAGTGGACTGTGTTGTGCTGATGGCGGTAAATTCTCTTGGTCTCAAGAAACCATAAAAAGCTACGTATATAGTGGTTTTAATGACAAGGTTTGTGCTGTTGGAAAAAGGTTTTAAATCTAGTAAGTTGGATAAGTCTTTAAAAATATGGAAATCTATAGGTAGTCTCTGGGCCGTACGTGGAGGTTCGGATTTCTGAATACCCCTAAGGATGTTCTTAATTTATTAGGCGGACATGAAACTCGAACTGTTGGGTTGTAAAGTTAGCATGTGATGTTGGATGCCTGTCAGATATAGTTTGATTGTGTTGTATGATAATTTGAGTTTGAGGTGGCAAAAAGAAGCAAAGCCCAACAAGGATGTCATGATGAAAGGTTGTAAGATGTTGTGTTCCGAAAGGAATCTTTTAAATAAAATGAAAGCTCTGTCGTAAGTGTTACGGGTATTAGTAGACAGTGCTAATTGGGCCAATGTTCTGCTATGTTGCATGATAGCGTCTAGTCCATTACTAGATGGTGGAATAGTGGAGTGGTCGTGGCTGTGAGTGCGGCTGACGGGAGGATTTGATTAAAAGCCTGGAAATTAAAACGAGACAAATTGTCAGCAGCTGTGCTACATACACCTGGAACATGAACACAAAACAAGAAGAAATTATGACATGCAGCCAACCAAGTGAGTTTCCTCAGGAATCTCATAATAGTCAGTGATTTGGATCGGCCTTTGTTAATAATGTGGCAAGTTGCTTGGTTGTCTGAGTAGCAACGTACTGGCGAACATGCCCATAAATGCCCCCATACCACGGCAGCCGCCACTATGGGATATATCTCAAACAGTGCTGAGGAAGTGGAAAAACCCTCGAGGTCCTTGACTTCTGAAGGCCTGCTACCCCAAAGCCATTCGTTCCCGTAAATTGCTGCAAAACTTGTGGTAGACGCCGCGTCTGACCAGATGGTAGGTGAGGAGTCAGACAATTCAGGGGGGAACATACTTTTACCATTCCAGGTGGTTAAAAAGTTTCTCCACATGAGTAGGTCTGCCGTGGCTGCAGTATCCAGGGATAACCTGTGTGCATCATGTCTGAAAAGATGTGAAGGAGTCGTGAGATGAAAGCACGGCATTGAGGTATGATGCGCATGGCAAAATTTAGTGACCCCAGCAGAGACTGTAGTTCTTTGCGGTTGCAAGTACCGAGTTGTATGTAGAGATTTATGTTTGTAAGAATGTTTTCTACCTAGGTACGTGGCAGGCTTGCTTGCATGGTGGCTGAGTCTAGTATGATACCCAGAAATGTGATGAAGGTATCTGGTCCTTCAGTCTTGGTGGGGGAGACTGGGACACCCAACTGTGTGAAAAGACTGATGGTTTCTTTGAGGCTACTGGGAGGGGAAATATTCTCCTCGACCAATAAGAAATCATCCAGATAATACGTTGAAGATGGCTGGACTACTTTTGGAACCAAAAGTTAATTGTGAGAAAAAGTAGTAGTTCCCGGCCCACTTGAGGCCATGTAGGTGCCAGAGTGTAGGGTGGATAGGCAGCAACTTGAAAGCATTTGTTATATTGGTCTTACTGA